GGCCGCTGCTCCACCGATGGCCAACTCACAGGCTCTCGGAGGCAGCTACGACAGCTGCACAAGCTGCTTGGTGTACACTAAACGACAGCCCCGGAACAGGAGAAAGACACACGCATTCTCCACCCCTCTCCCACTCCCAACCCCACACAAGTAAAATAAACTGAAAAGCATCCAAAGGAGAAAGACAGAGGGCGAGGAATTACTGCCATGGCCTGCAGTGGAGCAGTCACGCTGGGCAGTGGCAGGTGGGCCCCGGGGGCAGCGGGGATAGTGGCCACCTGCAGAACCAGGGGAGCAGCACGGACACCAAACCAGAAGCACAAGCCCCTGGATGCGGGACCAGGAAGCCCGCCCTGCACGGACACACCCACAGCCGAGGGGCTTTCTATTCATCCAGCACGGTGACTCAGGGAATAACTGGGGGAGGAGACCCCGCTCAGACTCCCGGACCCTGGAGGAGTCACCTGCAGACCACTGCCTCACCACCCTGAAGATGCAGAGACCAGGCCAGTCCCCGACGGCTCCAGGTTTGCCTGCCCCTCTCCTGCTCACGGCTCCGGCATGTGCCCCTGTGCCCGCATCACGTCAAGGTGTCCAGGGACATGCAGCCCCCATGTCCTCTCTGGGCCTCCCTCCGCCTACAGGCCATTGCCACTTCGTGTGGACGTGGCCTTCCCTCGCCAACAGCACAGCCGGGGTGAGCGTGTCCCCAGCCACTGCCACCAGCTGCTCTGTCCAACAGCTCTGACATGATCCAGCACCCCTGCTGCCCTCGACATCTGTCCTGGCCATGCCTCTCCCGTGACTCCTGCCATCTGAGGGGAGGCCTACATCCCACTGTTGCCATGATGGGGTGCAAGATTCAGCAAATAGAAAAACGCCAGAATGCCCTGTTCAACTGAATTTAAGACAGCAATTGTCTTTTTTACCATGAGCACTCCCGAATTTCACACGAGGGATGCTTGCACTGAAACCATCTGCTTCGGTCCTGACAGAGTCCAGTCTGCCTGGGGACGTGGAGTTTTCTGGCAGCCTTGGCTGTGGGGCTCCATCTCCCTTCGCGGCCAGCCCAGATGCCACCCCACAGCCTGCACCCTGGGGAGCCCCTGCCCCTCCAGTCTGGCCTCTCCAGTCCATGTAGGGGGACGGCTGGGGCCCTTGTTCACCCACAGTCACCTCAGCCCTGAACTTCAGCACAATTACCCACTGTGCTAAGAACGCCATCTAAACACGCACGGGCGGGCCCTCCCAGGACGCCCTGCCGGCCAAAGTCCTTTCCCTGTGCTCCTTGGCGCTGTCTCCAGCTCCTCAGGCTTGGGGTCTGCGGCCTCCTGTTTATTTCCTCTGCCTCAGTGGCACTGGCTCTACACTGTGCCTTGCTAACACTCGGAATGACTCCAGGAGCCCTGCCAGGGCCACATTCACAGGCTCAAGGCTCTTCCATAGAAGGGGCAGTATGTGGGTGGAACCCACCCCTCCTACACAAAGCACTTTCAGTCAGTGATGGTGAACCTTTTGCAGCATTCCATGATAACAAATGGCCCACTCTGGCACGCGTGCCCTAGGTTCGCCAGCACTGCTTTAAATCATCCCTGCACAACTTATGATACCCACATCCAGAGGGTGGGCAGCTATCCCCCCTCACCAGCACCTCTGCCTGGCAGTGAAATTCACACTGCATGCCCCAAGCACGTGCACATCTCCATGCTGTTGTGTAAGCGCTGATGTTCAGGCTCTGGGACGGGAGCTCTTTCCCTTCAGGCCCTAACTGGGCAGGCATGCAGGGCACTGCCACGAAGTCACAGGGTTCAGCAAACCGCTGACTTCCCTCCCACCTGGAATTGGGCTCAGGATCATCCTGTCCCTCCCTGAGCGCAGCCTGGGGGAGCACGGGGCAGTGAGGCCCAGGTTGGCTGCACCCCGGCCCCTGGCCCCTAGAGTGAGGCAGCCCCAGGCTGTGCTGGGCGTTGGCATCACAGACTCAGTCAACTCATCAGCTGCTGACCCGGAGTCTGGAGCGGGGCCCAAGCCTGGCGCGCAGGGGTGAGGCAGGCTCTGGCGGTGTGTGCAGGGTTTCCCCATCCCTGCAGCAGATGAGGGACCAGAGGGCTGGGCCCACACTGCCAGTCCTGTTGGCGCATCTCCCGGGTCCTGCTCCCGCAGAGCGGCTCAGGCCTCTTTCAGAAGTCTTTCAGATGTCAGGGGGAACAGACAGTCATCTTGGGAACAAAATCAGGAGCCTGCCCACGAAGGAACCGTGCCCGCTCGGCCCTCCTCCCAGGGAGCCCTGCCAACTCCCCGGGGGGAGGGTGGTGACGAGGTGTTGCTCACGGCCCTGTGTGTGTGGGCGCGTGTGAGTGCACGCGTGTCTGGGGACCGGGAGAGAGCATGCGGCAGGCAGCAGCCTGAAGGCCCCTTGGGGTGGGAAGCCCAGCCACGCCCGTCAGCTTGTCTTTCTGCTGCCAGGCACAGAGGCTGCAGGGCCCGCAGCTGGGTCTCCCCTTTGCCCCTTTCCCCTTCCCACTCACCTCGGCAGCAGCACCTCTTGCTCCAGAAGGAGCTATGAGGCTCCTGGCAGGGCTCTCCCCGGCCACAAGGGGGCCCTCCCTGCAGACCCCTGTGCCCTGCTGTCCACCAGCCACCGTCCCGCAAGGGGCAGGCACCAGCTGGCACACGAGGAGCCCCGTGGTCAGAGAGCAAACCCCACAGGCTCTGTTGGGAGCTCAGCACGTGCAGGGGCGCCGTCTGCCTGTCCTTCTGGCCCACAGGCTGCACCCTGGGCCGAAACCTTGTCGGGGCAGTGCTGGCTGCCTGAGGCTGGAGGGAGGGAGGGACCCTGGGCAGCACTTGGGGCCCAGCACTGGCACAGCAATGCACACGTGTGGCACCCACGTCACACACTGGCAGAGGCCAGGTGCAAGTGATCAGAAGCTATGAAATCGGTTCATTCTGGGTGGAAAATCAGGACAGATTCCCTCCAGGGCAAATCTGCCTCCAGGAAAACGTCTCCCGTGGCACTGCTTGCCAACCCATCCTCTGAGGATGGAAATGCTGCCCACAGCTCTGGTGAAGATTGACAGCACACTCACTGCCTGGCATGCGCCCCTGGAAGGAGGACAAAAATCCAGGACTCTTCCTGCAGCCTAGCACAGCGACAGTAAACAAACACACGGAGTTGATTAGCAAGCAAGACTCCTTTGGTCTAGGCACCAGGGTTAGAACTGCGTCCAGTCATAAAGCAGTGTCACATAGATTGCATTTCCTATGATGTCCCAGTCAGTGCCAGTCACATTTGCATTTGTACAAAGTCATAAATTAAGTATTTAATAATTAATAAATATTGCAGCGCTCAAATACTGCATGGGCCTGGGGCACAAGAGGGGAGGAAGGCGCAGGTTACCCGGACCAGTGACGGAGGACGCATTACCTCAGCAGCCTCACGCCCCAAGGGAAGCCTTCGAGAGCAGGAGCTTGCAATGCAGCCATCAGGGAATAAGCTTGGTGCAGCTAGAAATGTCCTTTTCTGACTGCTGGAGATTTTCGGTGGCTACACACGAAATTTAAAAATGCATGTCAGCCTGCTGCCAAGGTGTAGCATATGGGATACTCAGGGAAAACAATGGTGGGTACAGTGAAATTTAAATAACTTCGAGCAGAAAGGGAGCAGGATGAACAAGGAACATGGTTTGATTATAAAACTGTCAGGGGAGCCTAAAGGAAGACACTTCCACATTGCCATTCCGGGTAGCAAACCCTCGTCACCAAGGAGACCTGGCTGCTGCCGCAGTGGAGAAGAAAACAGTGTGTGCTCATCGTTTGCAGCTGGGCTCCGAGGACGTGAATTTACTGATAACCTCGTAAAGCTGTGTTTGTTCTGTAGAAAATAACATTAACCAGACCCTTGGAATGATGCTGCGATGACAGGCTTTGGGCTGTGAGCAGAACACGGCGCCTCCTTGGTAACAGGGACGGTCTCTGCGTGACTGTGACGCCGGACCGGATTTTATTCACAGGAGCTGCAGAGGTGCAGAGAGCCTCTGGGTAGCAGTAGAGTCCTTATTTATTTGCTTATTTATGCCAAAAAAAAAAAAAAATTCCCCAACCCAGCTCTCTGGCGTGTAAACAGAGATATGTTCGTTTCTTAGGAAACTAAAACAGATGGCATTTTTATGTAGATCTGCGGCCTCTGTGAGGCTCAGGCAGGGCCCAGGAGTGCAGGGCTCCTCTCACCGGGCTTGCTCAGCCTCCAAGGACAGGCCGCAGGCTCGGGGCGTGGGAACCCCTCCCACAGCACCAGGCGGAGGGACTTGCAACAGGTGCCCTGAGCCGGCACCCACTCTGGGGACAAGTCACAGGAGCCAGGAGCAACCGCAGGGCCTTCCCTGGGGTGCTGGATTCCCTAACTCAAGTCATCTAAACCCAGGCCTGTTGGCACATGCCTGTAATCTCAGCACTCCAGAGGCTGTGGGAGGCAGAGCACCGTGAGTGGAGGAGAGCCTGACCTGCCTAGCGAGATCCTGTCACAAACAAACAAACGTACATAATCTATTTAATGTATTTTCAGTAAAATGTAGCAGCGTACACGAAATAACTCCATTAGCCACAGTAGGTCAGAAGGGCCTTACAGAAGGACAAGGGAGGGGGAGTGGAGGGGTTCTTGTCCTGCCACCTCCACGGGTTTCTATCAGCCTGAGGTGCAACAAAGCAGGCCTGGTGACGTCCTTCCAAAGGAAGACGCCGGCCTGGCCCCTGCGAAGGACACAGCTTAGCAAAGAAGCAACTGCTCTGTCTGTGCACGGCTCGGTCCTGATTCCGGAGCATCGCATCCGCCAGGTGCTGCTTCTGGGATTTGCTCACACCGCGGGCCACGCTCACCCCAGCGCAGCGCTGAGAACTGGGGTGTGGGGTGCAGGGCCCGGCCCGGCCCCAGAGCCGCCCCTCCCCTCTCCCCAGGATGGGCCGCCGACCCGGCCCGGAAGGTGCCCGCGGGCTCTACTCACCCAGCAGCAGCCAGAGGCCGTGCAGTGCCCGGGCCATGGCCGCACGGAGCTAAGTGTCCGCGCCCGCGCCCAGCCGAAGACTGCGCCGCCGGGCACGCGGGGGCGGGCGGACGGGCGCGCGCGGGAGGGGGCGGCGCACTGCGGCTTGACTCGGCTCGGCTCGGGTCGGCTCGGCACCTGCGCGCTCCGGAAACGACGGGAGGCGCCCGGGGGACCCGCAGTCCGGGGCTGCGGCGCGCAGGCTCCCCAGGCCCAGAGGAGCGAGCGCCCAGGCGGCGGGGGTCTGGCCTCCGGGCGTCCGAGCCCGGCCTCCGCGGAGGTGACGGCCGCGGTCAGAGCTCACTGCCCGCGGCTGCAGGACCGGGCGGGCCGGCTGCTGCTCGCGGATGGCCCTGGCCTCACCCCGCGCAGAGCCCCGCAGGCCTCAGCCAGGGAGGCCGAGCAGCTGCCTGTGCGCGGCCGGGGGCAGCGCAGCCCCTGCAGGGACCGGAGCCTCCCCCACGACTCACTGCAGAGAGCGGCAGCGGACGCTCCCCCTGCTGGCTAGGAGCGGAGAGCGAGGACGCCCAGGTGTGGGGCAGCATCCTCTGGCCTCCCGCCTGGTTAAACCCAGAGATCCCGCCCGGGCCTGGCTCCCCCTGCGTTCACCAGGCAGGCAGTGCCCTTCCACTTGGTGAACCTGGGCGCTGGACACGGAGAAGGGACGTGTGCTCAGCTGCGGCCGGGCACAGGCCTGGGACACTGAACAGCACAGCCAGGCCGGGCTGGGCAGGGACGGCGCCTCCCCTCGGGGCTGCAGGGCCGGGCGTCCCCTCTGCGTCTCGCAGGCTTGTGCACGCTCGGCAGGACCGCGCGGCGCGCCCATCTCTCCCACTCCTTTCCACGTCTGCGCCTGGGAACGACGACCTAGCAGGCACCAGGAGCGCCCCGGTTTCTAAAGAGGTCAGCCGACAACTCTCGAAAACATCGCGAGAGCAGGCGACCTCAGCACCTGCTAGAGTTTGTCTGATTTATCCGCATCTCATTGGTGACAGGCAGCGTGAAACCACTGCTGTCCCGGCACGTCAGGCACCGGTAGACTGGCAGCGCCAGAAGCTGAATGCTTGCCTGCACACGGCGGCTGAAGGACCATCTCCAAAGACCTGGTCTACACCGCCAGTATCACAATGGATGCTTTCAGTCACAGTGAAGTAAGAGACTGGATTTATTTTCCTGCTTTGAACAAAAATTTGCACAAAATATATGAAACTACAGTTGTCACACCAGACTGCAGGCAGTGGGGAGCCTGACAGCGGGAGACCAGGAGGCCAGCCTTGGGCTGCTCCTCCCGGAGTCCCCACCCCTCAGGAGAAGAAAGCCAGCCGCCGGGCCGGGCGGCCCGGCTGGCAGAGAGGGGGCTGCACGGAGAAGGCGCTGGGGCGATCCAGGGGCCCCCTTGCGTCTCTGCACACGTGCATGAGGACACTGCTGTACCTGAGGCAAGAAAAAGAGCTCCCACTAGGACTGGAATAGTTGTAGTTCCCGCCAACCAGAGGAAAAATCCTGAAACTCACAGAATACCAGAGACTAATTAGAAGAGTATTGCATCAGTACTTGGAAAAATCATAAAAGCTATGCTGGTACCATCTAGCAACATTTAAAAGCAGGAACAAGGTCAGCCAGGCACAGTGACACACACCTATAACCTCAGCGTTCTGGAAGGCTGAGGTAGGGCGACTCCAAGTTTGAGCGCAGCCTCGGCAACATACCAACTTAGCAAGACCTCGTCTCAAAAAAAAACCCATTATGCTGAAGACTGAAGTTTTAAAAATTTTTGCTTGTAATGCATGTACGTTACCTAGAAAAATTCAAGGAACAAGAATTTGAAAGAACATATTTCATTATATTCCTTTGTTATGTGTGTTCCAAAAATGGATCTCTAGGCATTGAAGGGTTAAAAAGGGCTGGGGAAATAGCTCAATGTGAAGGCCCTGGGTTCAATTCCTAGTATCTCCCTTGCTGTTCCTAGGTAACAACTACATCCTATGACAGACTTAAAAAAAAAAAAAAAGAACAAAGCATCCAAAAACCATGAGGGTACTTGTATTCACTTCCTGTTGCCATGATAACATACCCGAGAAAATCAACTCAGGAGGCTGAGGCAGGAGGACCGTACACAGCAAGACTCTATCTCAAAATAAAAAGGACTGGGAATGTAGCTCAGCACTCCCTGGCTTCAACCCTCAGAGCCTCCCAACCCCCCAAAAGAGCAAGACTTTTAGGAGAGCTTTCTGTAAACCCGCATACAGCTCTCAGTTACAAAGGAAAGGCAGCGCTGCACAGTGGAGAACCTGCCGGAGCCATCTTGGCCCAGTGACCCAGGATCACCTCATGGGAGATGCAGCCCACATCCCCAGATGGGGCGCACTGAGGACAGGGCTTTTCTCAGCTTCCTCTCGGCGAGAATGGGGAGACAGCCTCAGATGAGCCCAAATTCAGAGGCACCTGTAGAATACCTAACCAGTGTGCATCAAGTGTAAAGGTCATGAAACTCAAGAACACACTTGGGAGCACTCGGCCTACAGGAGAAGAAGCAATCACCAGATGCAGCGTGGCCCATGCGCCTGGGCTCCGGCACAGGAAAAGAACCTGGCAGAATGGAAACCCAAGAGCATTTATGGTTCAGAGTGTGGCACTGACGCCAATTTCCCGGTTTTCTGTTCTTTTACTGTGGTTATGCAAGGTGGCCCTGGCGAGCAGTGTGAGGCGTGCACATCTCTGCACCTCCTTTAAACACAAACTGTTGTCACCTGACATGTAACACTGCCCGCCATCTCTGCTCCCTAACTACTCACGACCATGCGTGTGCTTGGCCAGGAGGCTTGAAAGCTGAAGCATGGATGGTGTTGGAAGCACTTTAGAGTCAGAGCCAGTGGCCTTCGCATGCTGTGTTCTGTATTTTGTATGCACGTGGGTGTGTGAGTGCTAACACAATGAAAGTCTGCATGTAAAGTCTCCCTGCATATATCTAATGAGGGAAGTGCCTCCCTGGAGAATTGCCTCCTGCTCTCTGGCTTCCATTTGCTCCTCTGATACCCCCAGAGCCCGAGTGTGAGCTCCATCTACCTCATCACTCTGCCTGGGATCTTACTGTACTCATAAGGAAAGCAAACCTGTTCCCCAGGACTGCTAATCTGAGACCTAGAGGGAGCAGGGAAAGGGCACATTACTAGAACCTCTGCAGTGAGTCCTAGTCTCCTGCGAGCCACCACAGCACAAGGCGAATTAACTTATTACACAGGAAAGGTAGAAAAATGAGACTTTGAGAAGCTGAGCTTTGGGCCTGATCAGTGCTGCTTTGGGCGGGAAAAGATGACAGGGCCCCCCCGCCCCCAGCTTGGCGAACCTGTTATTCAACAAATGTAACAAATGACTCCAGACAGAGTTCAGTACATGGGGAGAAACAAATGTAACAGATGACTGGGGAGCAGCGGAATTCCTAGATCAATGAGGAACTATGCAGATGAAGATTTGGTTCCCCCCAGGATGCCTTCAGCTGCTGTAATCTGGTCCTGGAGCATCACAGCATCACCGGACCATTGAAGTCTCAGTTGTGACCAGAGGCCAAAATGAAGTTTTGTCTTGAAATGGCATAGCTGGCCGGTAGGCAGGAGAACTAGGCCTAATCAAATGATTTTTCCCCAAAATTATGTAGCATTGCTCCTGACAGAGAACTGCATGAGGACAGACATGGCCAGAACTGCTGGTGGCCTTCTGCCCTCATGGTGGAGAGACTGATGCTATGCCTGATTTCATGTCTGGAGTTTTCAGTTATGTACACTCATTTTCATTTTTTGTGCTTTGACTTTGAGTTACATTTTTACCATTTGTAATGAAGGGTCCCTTCCCTTGTACACTGACCTATGCTCTCCCTTATTCTTAGAAATATTGAGGCAAGTTACATTCACAGAAGAGAAGCAAAAATAAATTAAGAAAGAATGAAGTAACACGACTGTTACAATAAAGCGAGGAGGAAGTGACTACTCCAGACGACACATTGCACGGCCGGAAAACAGGCCTGGTACAGGCAGCAAACCTTGGCTGAACACTTGTGACAAATACTGTGGCGGATGCTTTACTCTTTCCCGGCAGGGCAGATACTTATCTCCATTTTGCAGACCAGGCTGCCAAAGCACGGAGAAATTGTTCCTTGCCCGACTGTCACAGCTAACAAAATTGAAGGAGGGATCTGAAACCAAAACACTCTTCAGAGCCTGCATTCTAAAGCAGTATAGGCGCGTGACACATTTTTTGTCACAGAGGAACATAAACATGGCTGTTTATGCTCACGTGTTTAAACCCATGTTTATTCTTTAGAATATTTCTATTGATGAATTTTTAATTTTGAGTTTTATTATATTAAAAAATGAGTGCTTAAATGGAAAAAAATCACAAAAATAAAGCATTGAACTTTTAATATTTATTGAATGTTTATAAAAGCATCGAAATTTCCCACATTGACTGGCTTTTGGTGTATAAAGTCTAAAAAGGAACAACAGAAATAAATTCCTATATGAACTACAATGAAAATACCAATAGCACTCTATAAAAATAATCTTTACTCCGATTATCACTCTTCACACATGACAACAGCACGTTCCATGCATGTCTTGCGTACACTGACAGCATATGTGCTTAGCTTTTTAAAAATTTTTTGCTTAAGAGTAGGAAAAGTTGATTGAGAGAAAGACAGCTTTTGTCTCAGAGAGACAGAAGAGGAACTGGGAAATGGGTTGCCCACCGACCCTACTTCTCAAAGGTGTTTTATGGGACAAAGCCACGAGGTGAGGCGGGTTCAAGGTGGCACAAAACTATAGTCAACTAGTAAGACTGCAAGTGCAGTTGCTTAGCTAATATTGATCCAATGAGAAATCACAAGGTGGACAAAAGTATGATCAACCAATAAGATTACAGCAGTATAGTCACCTAGGTAATATTGATTAAATGGGGATCCAATGTTAGCTTTCCTTTCCTATGTGGCAGGCCATTCTTGTCACCTCTGTTTTCTATTAGATTGTACAATGTGCATTTAGTGGGAAAATAAGATCAATAAAATAAAATATTAAATGTGTAATGAGTGTTTAGA